GCCTACCGTTAGAGTACTCCAACTGGGTATCTGACCATCATTATTGGCGGCCTACGGTTAGAGTACTCCATCTGGGTATCTGACCATCATTATGGGCGGCCTACCGTTAGAGTACTCCAACTGGGTATCTGACCATCATTATTGGCGGCCTACGGTTAGAGTACTCCAACTGGGTATCTGACCATCATTATTGGCGGCCTACCGTTAGAGTACTCCAACTGGGTATCTGACCATCATTATTGGCGGCCTACGGTTAGAGTACTCCATCTGGGTATCTGACCATCATTATGGGCGGCCTACAGTTAGAGTACTCCGGCTGGGTATCTGACCATCATTATTGGCGGCCTACGGTTAGAGTACTCCATCTGGGTATCTGACCAGGTTAAAAAAACCTCCATGAATTAACGCATTATTATAAAGCTACAGCAGAACCTTGGAACTGGAACACCTCAACTCAACCAACCAACACGGACAAACGGGTCTGTTGAATGTTTTTCAACTTGTGACTCGACCGAAATCTTGGAACTCGACTGTTCCTGCTAAAATTTGTATGGGTTGAGACGTGTTCAACTCTACCAACTGGGACCTTGAACAGGTCACTAAATGATGAGGAGAAAAACCTAGCTGCAACTCGACCAAAAACTCAGAACATGACAAACCAAAACAGACGCGCTAAAACTTGTACAGCTCGAGACGCATGTCTGATGTGCTTTATCTGCAATACATTTAGTGATACAGTAATCATGGCCCCTAAGACAGTATGCAGTGATAGAAGCAAACCGAAGAGGAAAATAGTGAGTGTAACTGTATTAGTTAGTTTTATATTGATTGTTATTTCTCTGGGTCATTAGTTTGGTAGGTAGATCATTTTAAATTGGCAATTATTTGGGGGTCTGAAACGGATTAAATTCATTTATATTATTTCTTATGGGAAAATTTGACTTGGACCTCGACCAAATCACAACTGGACCAGCTTTCTGGAATGAATTAAGTTTGTGTTCCAAGGTACCACCATATATCTGTAAACAGACCAAAATGTAACAGGGTAATTAATGTCAACCTACATGGTCTTTTAAAAAAAAAAAAAGCAGGGAGTTTAGCTCACATTTCCATAGTAGTCCTCATCATCTTCGAACATAGCAGGCAGATAAGGGGTCAGTTTAGGGGGTGTCTGCAGGTGTAGCTGATCCCATGATATGCTCTCAAAGAAAGGGTGACCTTTGAGAGGGGGGAACCCCCCCGCCTCCTCACAGCCTAGCCGCTTCCTGGGATCCAGGAGCTGGAAGACAGAAGCTCTGCTTTAACAGTGAGGCTTTCTAACACCAGTGGTTTGTCAACACGTAACGCAGCACAGTGCAACTTACTAAAAGATGTTCAACGAGATCCTTGGCTTTGGGAAAGAATTTGTCTGGAAATTCATACTCAAGCTTCATAATCTTTTGAAATATAAGGTACTCGTTTCTGGGAGAGTGACAGAGAGAGAAACAAAGAACATGAAATCAATTCATTTTTGGGCCGTATATATGGTGACATCAACTTGATCTACTATACATCATTCGTACCGTGGACAGGAGTAATCAAAGAGCAGACAGGCCAAGGTGGAGCGTCTTGACCACACCGAGCACCCCTGTGGGCCTACTTTATAATCGCAACTTCCCTGTTATAGTTTAACTATTCGGCCCGCCTGGCTACATGACACTGATCATGTGACTTGGGTTTTTTCACCTCACCCAAGAACTTCCTCACATAAACAAGTCATAAACAAGACAGGCATAACTTCCTGTTATTGTACAGTTTTGTTAGCACTTTTTTTTTCAAAAACTCTTCTGTTTTTATCCCTTAAATGGCAGTAGGCCGAAGTACACTGTTACAAATAAAAAGGTAGCTAAAGAGTGAGTTTTACACAATTTCTTGTTTTGCCAAATCACAGAATTAGTGAAGTGCTAACATTGCGAAATGAAATACTTGCAGCTGACTTACCCAGCCCTAAATGGAGGAAGCCCAGCCACCAGCTGGTAAATGATACAACCTAAGGCCCAGAGGTCAGAGCTGGAACAAGAAAGTATTCAAAACACAAGATGAGGAGAATCCATGGGCATGGAGAGCCAGACAAAGTCCGGGAAAGGATGACGTTACCTTTTGCAGGCAGACTTCTCAGTTAACAGCTCTGGGGAAACATATTGTGCAGTTCCAACGAAAGAGTTTGCTCTGGCTGTAAAAAAAAAAAACAGAAGTCATGACAAGGCCCATAAAAACAACTCAGTTCTTGAACATAGCTTTTTAAGCTCACAGATGACTTAATCTCAGTCTACTCCCTAAACTCTCCCGGCTCTGCTTTCAATAGCCTTTAGCTTGATGAAGAAGTAAGATGAAAGTGCGTTTTAGACCATACTTTTTGCTAATTTGCAGTGAAGAAGAATATCACTTTGTCACAAATAATATACAGCAGTACTGTTTCTCAATTTCATATGGCAATCTGTACTACATTTCAGAAGCCTTTGCAAACAAAATATACTAGTCAACAGAATAATATAAAGTGAAATCAGTCTTCACTAATTTAACACTACACAAATGAATATGGCTAAAGTATAAATAACCTGAGATTTCAGGCTAGTACCATAGAACAAGGTCATTCGAAACAAGGGAAAGACCTTCAGTAAACAGACCACAACATAAGACCCAGACAGAGAGAATAAAATAACTTCACCTTGCTTGCTATCTGGCGACAACTGCTTTGCTGTTCCAAAATCTGTTATTTGAATGTGCATTTCTTCATTCAGTAAAATATTTTCTGGTTTTAGGTCCCTGGAGGAAAACAAATGTCAACAAACTGGATAACATTCACGCCAGCCCACCATAAAATTAACATTAAAAACAACATGACTTCATCAATAATATCACAGTTTTTAAGTGTATTATGGAATTATAGGAAAGACCTGCTATAGCTGCTTTATAGTTGCATTTTGGTTCGAATGCATAAGACATAATTCATTTAGAAATGCATTTCAAAGACACCTGCGGTCCAGACGTCATGGGACGCCCGGCGGCAGTAGTGTAGTCCTGGGCATACGCAGGTATAAGGCGTACACCCACTTTTTATTAGGTCGTCACAGCGTATACCCACTTCTAAACCCCCCTGTTACGGGTATACGCTGCAGTCTAATACAGGGTATACGCGGGTATACGGAAATTTTCAGTCCACACACTGGGGGTATTTTTCATACGTGGATTACTCGTTTAGCCGGATGTAATTGTTGACGATTTGGCATGATCCTGGATCTGTCAGTTTTTTGAAACTCTTGCTGGATGTGTTGTCATAGCAGCACATCCAAATTCTCAAACCTGTGGCCTGTACTACGAAGCGGGGTTACTGGCTTATCGGGGTAACTTGTCGGATTTAAGGTACCACAGTTTAAATGGACTTCATATTCGTTCACTTACATTTTGCCCAGACTACCTTAAATCCGACAAGTTACCGCGATAAGCCAGTAACCCCACTTCGTAGTACAGAGCCCTGCTCGGAGCAGGTTGCACATTCAAGCTGTGAAGATAAAAGAGCAACAGAAAGAAGCGACCACTGAAAGTGCAATGGAGGCCATGACAGAGTGCTACATGCAGGCCGCTAAAAACTTTGGGGGCTAAATTCACAGTTTACCCACTTCTCCAGACACCACTACACCACTGCCCAGCGGATGCAAGAAAATGCCTGTGCTTGCAAAAAAACACTGATAATTTGGCCTGCAGAGATTCACATCAGAGCACTGCAGCATTCAGCAAAGGGCTGTGACAGAATATCGCTAATTACTTGGAATGCATAATTATTCCCACTTTCGGCTGATTAACGTCTAAAGAGGGGAGGTAAGGGCAGTAGAATGTGCCTCCTCCCAGAAAAGGATGTTGCCTGCAAAAGCAGCAAAGACTCCTCATGGCCTACCACACCATTCACACCTATATGCTCCCATGACTTTCAGGTGGGACGCGTGTGCAACAGCTGTTTGATAAAGCAAGTCAGCATTGAAGCGACATTACCTGTGAATAATCCCCTCTGCATGCAAATACTCTAACGCACAAACGATCTCTGCTGTGTAGAACCTTGTGCACGTCTCATCGAAAGACCCTATCTTTCGAATGTATTTTAGCAGTTCCCCATTTTTAGCATAGTTAAGAACAAAATCTGAGAAGCAGTAGTTAAGGACAGACACGATCACTTATTTAAAAAAAAAAACAAAAGAAACCCACAAAACTTCAGGATAAAAATAAAACAAACCAACAACACACCTTTATGCACTTTGCACAGTGTTAATCCATCATCTTTGATAGATGATATATATATATATCATTTCGTATGAAAGGATACACAGCTTCTCTTCATCTTGAAATGCGAAGTGAAGCTTGACAAAAAACGGATGTTCTAGGTGTGACATCACGTCTCGCTCCCTTTTCACGTATTGCGCCTTCTTTTCTTTCATGATATGCCGTTTTTCCAGAATTTTAACTGCGGGGCACAAAGAGATGGTCTTTCGTCATTGATTGTTTTATTGCACATACGTTACAAATCCTAAAAATTAGATATAAAATTAGATATGAATTCAAGAAAACCTCCTTACTGGCATAATCTTTCCCTGTTAGCTGCTCTCTTGCCAGCACTACCTGTTAAAAAGGAAGAAAACATACATTTGGTGTAACTGTGACGGCGTAAAGCTACACTTTAGTATTTTGCGACTGTTGTGTGACACCCAAACACGCGTCAAACTGTAACCATAATTCAGTTTCCCGCTCACCGTCGAGAAAGAGCCTTCCCCCAGAATCTTGCCAAACTTGAAGTCCTTCTTCCGCAGCTGCATGGCTGTCGGCCGGCGCTCTGCCCCGGAATCAGAACGGCCCAGGGAAGCCCTGGCCTCTGTGGCGGACGCCTCCATACTCAGATCCAGACGGAGGCCTGTGCTCGGGATGGCCTCCGGGGGTCCTCTCACCATGGGTGAGGCGGGGCACGAGAGCAGCACCACGCTGGACTGGATGGGAATGACATCGCACTGTGGGGGCAAATACAGACAGCACAAGGAGATCAGCCCAGGTACATAAAAACGTTGGGGAGCGATAAGCCCTGAGAAACGGAGAAACAGAGGGGCTGGTCGTCCCTCCCCCATTCAGTTACAGACAGATGTTTAGTTAGCCGCTAACCACACAAATAAAGCAAGATCCACAACATCTGCATCTGTCACACAAGGTGCTATAATAAAAGTGACTTCTGAGGGTTACAAACGGCTGAATAAGCATGCTCAAGCTACAGCACCTCACGGGCTACATACACAAATTTTGCACAAACTGCTAGACGACAGCACCAATGGTATATATGTATTTAAGCTTGAGGCTATTGCCCTGAAAATTAGCAATGATCAAGAATTAATAAATAAATTCACAAGTCAGGATGAGAAGCTCTGCTCCTGGTTTTGAGGGACCTTTTGAAAGGTACTTTCCACACAGCTGCCTCTTGGGGAAAGGCTCCTGTGACAACCAGCCAAAACACTGTCCCAGCCTGTCCTGCTCACCAGCAAATTCACCTGCGCTAAACCTTGTAAAAGGCCACAGCATGTCGGCTGTGTATTTACTTTAACACACCCAGAGCAGGTTAACTGCACATACAGTAAGGATCAGAGTTGGCCTGTTTGGGGATTTATGATAAGCTCTTCCTTTGTGATAACTTTGAGTCCATATGTAATCTATTCAGCTTTTATGTGATTGGACAAGGACAAGTTCATAATAGTCTGGTTCCATGAGGTGAAAATATCCATCAGGTGTAAATATATGAATGGACAGTAAATCCATTCAATCCTGTGTGTGAAGAACCAGCCAGTTTGTTTACTGCAGGGAGGCTGCAGCCGGCAGACTAAGCCCTACTGGGCTGGCCATTTACGGAAGCGAGGTGGAGGCGTGGCCTTCCTGAAAGGCTCAGGTGGGATGTGGACATGCGGCGCGCTCCTCCATCGGCACACTGAGCCCTTCTGGGCTGGCCATTTACGGAAGCGAGGTGGAGGCGTGGCCTTCCTGAAAGGCTCAGGTGGGATGTGGACATGCGGCGCGCTCCTCCATCGGCACACTGAGCCCTTCTGGGCTGGCCATTTACGGAAGCGAGGTGGAGGCGTGGCCTTCCTGAAAGGCTCAGGTGTGACGGGTACATGCGCCGCACTCTCCGCCGGCAGCAGGTGCGGCATACCGCGGTGTGCCTCCTGTTCAGTGTGCCAGCATGCAGCATGCTCAAGAGGGTGTGGCCGCAGACATTTCGAGGGAAACTGTGAATAAACAGCTATGGATGGTGCCCCCACCCCTCCTTGGAGGCAAGGCAGCTTGGATACTATTGTAGTGAGTCACGCTTACTGTTCAAGCCGTGCATCATTCTCTAAATATGCTCTTTGCTACTGTATCAAAATTAAAACATCCATGCAGATGCATGCTTCCAAAACAAAGTCAGCAGCTACATTTTTAATCATGATTAAAGAGCTATAACAGAGGCAAAAAAAATTATATTCAAATAATATTTACAAAAAGCTGGTAAATGGTTTAGTGGAGTGAATCTAGAAAATCATTAAAACAGAAACAGACTTTAAAGCTGGACTTAACATAAATGACTGAAATGTGAACAGGGGGCAGACACCCTGCTTGCTTTCATTGTGCACGTTACGGTAACTGGATATCTGCCGCCTGCACAAGCACAGACAGGAAAACTGCAGAAATATGTAACGAAAGACCCTTCCCTGACATAAACACACAAACAAGGCCTCGTCACCAAGGTGAGGTAGGGGAGCCGTTTACTCATTGACCTGGCAAGGGGATTGATCTCAGTTTTCCCACTGGTGTTAATGTTTCAACACACTCCTGTTTACAGATTTCAGAAGCACCCTAATTAAAAGCTGCACATGGCCCAGCTTTGAAGTCTGCCTACCTCAGAATTCGACTTTGCAAATGAGACCTGCAGACATGAGCAGTAAAGTTATTCTACAAGCCTCTGATTAGAGGACAGCCCTCAAACAGCGAGTCTCCTTAAGAAAAATCCAAAATCATTTTTACTGTGAAATCTGACCAAAGCAGAATGGATGGTCAAGTGTAATTCATACAAAATTCTATTGCTCTACAGACAATTACATGTAGCAAAGAGACTTACGTACCCTGTAGCTCCAAACGCTCATCCATGGCATTCACCAGTCATTGTTTTCCTTAATACACATCACATAAAAAACGTCACCCCATCTAACTATTACAGCCAAACTTTTCCTGTGAGGAACAAAGTCATGCAATTATTTTCCGTTTTCTGCTTTACAAATGTTTTGCAAGTTCTAAATACAAAAGCAGGAGCTTTAACTAGCCTGAGAAAGATTTGAAGCACAGCAATAAAAACTTGATATTATGTGAAGCATAGATATTATGTAAAGTTAATCGCCTACAGAAAACCGATTATTCTATGACCTGATCTCCTTCACAGGAATGGGTCTCTGTAGTGGCCAGTGTGCATCTACATTGACATCCACTCTCTGTGTAAGGATAAGCAGCCCATCTTAAGCTATCCTTAACACTGCTGTAAGCAGACTCATCCCAAATAAATGCTAAGTTTGCCACTGACATGTTCTTACAGGTAGATCCAATCAACTGCGAGCTTCTGCTTGTATGGTGCTGGTATTCATAGTCAGACAGAAAAATGCCCTTTAAATGTATGTACACTGACCTTGCTATGTCAACTCAACACGAGGGATAACATGGGCAGAACAATGCTGTAAAAGCCCAGGTTTCTGACAGAACCCATATAATCACCCACCATGTTTTTCAAGGTAAAATTATGTTACTAGGCAAGACAAAAGAAAAAGAAAATAAAACAAATCTTGACACTAATCTCCAAAACACAGGATGCATATTGAATTTGAGTCCTGCTTTACACACGCAAGCTAAAGATCATGGATGTTGCATTATCTATGCAATGTCAAATGACAAAAATGTACAACACCATACACTATCAGGTATGGCACCCTTAAAAACAGAAATATATGTACACATGAGCAACACTGTGGTTAGGGTTGCTGCCTCCCTGCAGTCTGTACAAAGCTTGCACACTCTGTCAGTGTTGCACAGGTGTCCTCTGGGTGCTCCAGTTTCCCTCCGCAGCACAAAAACCCGCAGTTAACTGGTACCTCTAAAATGCCTCTGCTGAGCATTGAGGATGCACCCTGTGACTGGCTGGCATCCCATTCAGGATGTACTCCTGCCTTAAGCCGTATACTACCTGGGATAGACAATATTGTCCAAACAGGTCTCTACGGATTGTAACTGCTGGCAGATACCAACATTAATAAAGCCAAATTCTATCTGGAAATGTACAGCCTGCAATCGAGCTGAGAATCAAAGCTGTTCCAAGTCTGACAGTCAAAGCAAGCTCAAAACATATCAGAATGAATGAATGGTAATGAATAAGTTCTTCTGCCAGTCGCTAGACAGCAAAACTGCAGACAAGGACAAAACAGGCTTGGCATTTGTTTTCAAAGAGCCCAGGCAATGTTACCAGGCTGAGAGACACACAACGAACAGACTGCCCTGAACAGGGGGGGTTTTACGAATTCTGGGGACATGGTAGAGATTGACCAAAAACTTATTTTGCGGATGATGTTCAATATGTGCGTTGATGACTTAAAATATGTGCCTGAAGTTTCCAACACAGCAGCGGCGCTGTCATTTCCATTCTGGCAGCTTTACCAGGAATCTACAGATGAAAGATTGGCAATTTGCAACATAAGTGCAAAAGGAGTTGCTCATGGAGGATCATGAGCTAAAGCATTGTTATTCGCCAGTTCTGCTTCCAGTAATCGGCTATCGGTGATCGGCCCCAAAAACCCTGATCGGAGCATCAACAACAAACACGTGTTACCCAAGGAAAATGTCACATACGGTGTGGAAAAATATTTAGGTGCCGCTCCTGAGCCATAAGTGAATTACCTGCCTATTTCAGTGTCTGAGATTGTTTACAGAAAGGTCCTATTATTTTCTTATAGGCATTGTTTTTTGTTATTACTTTATTAAACTTAACTTAGTCATGGCTCGTATGACAATTATTTTATGTTTGATTGTTCTATGCTAATTTTAAAAAAGTAATAAATACAATTTGGAAGCAATTCATGTCTAAGTTCTTATCCTTGCAATAGAATTTGCAGTGGTTAATATGTTGATGGTATCTCATGTGGTAATGCTCCATCACATGTATTTAATCTATTACACAATGAATATTGAACTAAAGCCTGATTTTAAAAATCATATTGCAAATCACGTCACAGTATCTGTCAGAAAAATGGCAATTAGATATTTTCCCCAAATCATTCAGCTCTATTATACAGACTGGAAGCCACCAACAGCAAATACAAAAGAGAGTGACAATTTTGGCTTGGGGAACATGCCCCTCTACCTGTAACGATATACAGAAAGGCTTTGCTTTATGATAAAGATACTTGGAGCAGTGACTTTCCTTTACATTTTGCTCATTTTCTGTTAGAAAGCAAAACAGCTCTTTTGTCTATTTGCTTTAGTCGCCTACCCGTTTGTATCCTGAAAGTGTCCAAAAAAAAAAGTCACCATCCTCCAGACTTGAGGTCTGGTGGATTTAATTGCTGTCATGAAGAAAGGCCTTTTCTTACAGGATAACATGCTAACAGGTTATGCTAACAACCACCACAATCAGCCCTGTAAAAAGGTCAAGTGTAGGAGGCCTGTACCTTGGTAAAAATATATAACGACACTGAAAAAGCTATTTCACTATTTCATTAGTGAATTGGATCAGCATTTCTCTACCCGGTCCTCAGGGACAGTACACATTTTTGTCCTCTCCCAGTTCTCTGCCAGACTGTCCACATTTTTGCTCAAAAACATGGACTGTCAATGGATCCCCAAGGACAGTTGACTTAATTTGATTATTGCCTTCTTAGATCAATGCCTTGTCAGGACACCAGGGCCCTCTTAACACCCATTGGTCTATCATCTAATAACCTGAACTGTGAGCAAG